GGAAATTGACTGATGCTAATAAAATAATACCATGCACGAGCGCACATAGTGACACACACACACACACACACACACACACACACACACACACACACACACACACACACACACACAAAATGAACAGATGAAAATTGTTATTTCAATAATACAATACAGGGAGTCAGAGAGGAAATAGGGAGCTGTGCTGCTGGGAGAATATGATAAACAGAGACAGGAGATGAGGCAGAGGATGAACAGATGTGTCCCAGAAGTAAATTTACCCTCACACTCACACAGAATATTGAACCTTTAGAAATACAGACAGAACATACAATAGACACAAATCTGATTTATTCAGCCTTGACTTTTTGTCTCTAGCTTTCTCTGAGTCTGAGCATCTTTCCTTTGTTGTCGTATTCCCTGTGTGTGTGTCACTCCCTCTCCCCTCTCCGGCTTCCTGTCTCCCTGTCTACACACACCTAAAGGTTTCCTCCCGCTCAGCATGAGGCAGACTGACATCTGAGCAGCGACAGCTAAACAACTCATCCCCTCAGCGTGTAACACACCAGAGCAACTGTAGTGTATGCACACTGTTAGGATTAAGATTTTGTTGGATTATTTGATTTCATTCAACTGGAATACAAGTAGAGAGTCATCAACATACAGTTATATAACATATATACAAGGACTCGCAAATAAAACAACAGAGACAGTGCTACTCACTTCTCCAGAGCAGCTGCTACATCCTGAAGACCCTGAGGGCTGGTGTTGTTCTTATCCCAGATCACAGTCCTGTACAAAGCACAAAAGATCAAAATAATTAGTCATGACAAGACATTTGCATGGGTCTCTGAGCACGAAGGCTCAAATGACAATGCAAATGTCTCTTTGTTACCATGCAATATTACTAGAGGTGCACTCCAACCAACCCTAAAAATCAATAGCTCAATGAAAAGTACATATTTTCGCCAAGGCCAAACAGTCCAAGGAGAAAAACTCCTTATCTTACAATGGTAAAGAAAGTAATAAAAAAATCCACCCCCTGATGGAGTATTTGCGTATTCCTGCTAATAAGCAAACAAAACAAATAAAAACGCAGACAAAAACGTGACTGTGATTACATATATATAAGGGACTTACATATGTAAATGATTGATAGTCTACAATTACACTTGTCTGTCTGTTTTTTATCTTGTTGGTAACACTTTATTTGACCCGTCTCCTCTATAGACGGCCCATAACAGTCACATGTCTTCCACTGTGACCCGTTGAACACATTGTGTACTGACCTGAGTTTGGAGTTGATCTGCAGCGCCTTGGCCAGCATCTTGGCTCCCATGTCCCCCATGGCGTTGCCACTGATGTCGAGTCTAGTGAGCGAGGAGTTGCTGCCCAGGGCGTTGAGAACGATGGTCAGATCGCTCTTTAGTCTGGAGTCTGCTAGAGACAGAGAGGTGAGGGGCTGCGGAGAGGAGGGTGGAGGGAGGACATGTGAGGTAAGAGGAGGAGAAAGGAAAAGTGTTGAGATGGGTTTTAAATTATGAGAAGAAGAGATAAAATATAATTATGCTGCGGCTGACTCTTGTGTGTCATTGACGGTGCTGTGGGACAGTCTGAGGGTTTTACTGCAACCTGCAGGCTACTAAATAGTGGCAGCATTGATGAGAAGCCCTAAAGTTGTATGTGTTGGCATCACCAGCAGTGAGCATACAGAGGGAGACGTAATTCATGACACTGGGAATTAATACTCCTTTAAGAGCCTGCTGTTTCAGTGCCTGTGTCCTGTGAATGTGTGGATGTAAGTGTGACCATGCAGTCAGAGTTTACATTAACTTCAACACCATTACAAAAGACTCTGTATACAAACTATAAGGTGAAGCTGTAATAATGAACAGTTCTACCAAAACTAAACATAAAAGCTCAACATAATCCAACGCTAACTCTTTTTCTATTATACCACTTATAAAACTGTATTGTCTTTCAGGGGGGTCCTGAACAAATTATACTTTTATGAGAGGGTCTAGCCTTCTGTGAATTATCTGAAATGCGTTATCATCATTCAAAACTTCAGGGGGAAAAAGGAATCAGAAGATCAAGTGGATTTCTTTGTAATGTGAGAGTGATACATGGGTTTACAAATCCCCGACAGCGTCCGTCTGTTCAGCACATGCAAGCTGCTCTGTGATGCGTAACATTTACACAGCTGGAGACTCCTGTGATCTGCCTTCTACAGGCCACTCATTTTACCGGCTGCCAAGTCGCCCTGTTGAGCCAGACTCATTCATTCTTTTTTAAAATGAATGATACTTCAGCTTAAAAAAAGTACTTTGAGTATAAAACAAACTTTATAGATACAATACGTTGTCAATTTAAAGTATTACTATTGATGCAGTAACATAAACTGTATGTTTTGATGTAGCTGGCAGAGGTTCGCTCATCTTGTATAGTGTTGGGAAGTTTACCAGCCCAGTGTGGAGAATTTAGTGGCATCTAGTGGCAGTGTTGCAGATTGCAGCCAACAGAAAACCCTTCCCGTCGCTTCAAATCCCAAAAATGTGTCTCCAGAGTCAAGGTTTGTCCAATTTGGGCTACTATAGAGAGATGGAGATGCAACACGGCAAACCATCAAAGTAGACATGAGCGATTCTAACGAAACGGAAACAACAATCCTTAATTTCAGATGATTATACTCATGAAAATATAACCGTGAATAATAACAATAATATTATTCTGCCAAAAGACCCCCTAAATCAAACATACCTTAATAAACTGTGTACTTCACCAAATCCAATATGAAAAAACATGACGTTACTTCATGTTTTACGACTTAAGGAGGAGACTCTCACCTTCACATAGATTAACACAGTGAGTGTTTTGTTATGAAATTGCACTTGTGTGCAAAATAACACAGAATACCCAATAAGCTCGGTCAGCTCAGTGGTTTTTAGATGACTTTTGGCAGTCATGGATTTGTTCATCAACATGGTTGTATACACAGAAAATGAGTGCAGAGAGAATTATTTAGTGTCTGGATGTGTTCCTATAGAGCACACAGCAGACATTAAACATCAGTACAAGATGATGCACCAGTGGGCGCTGTAGCTAATTCTTTGTGGAGTGTTGTAAAGACGAAACTACATCTTCACACACACAGCCCCTTAAGAATAAAAACTGTGTCCTACTAAAAAAGCTTAGTAACATCTGGTTGTTGAAGTGAAAGCACAGGAAAGGAAGTCTACAATGCCAAAACCTGTAGGTTGTATTGAGTAGAGTGATAAAGTGATTTCCAGCCCTTGCTATGGCGAAAGCGAACGACTTTCAGGAGCTCCGATTTTTCCAGGCGTTGTAAATCATTAAGATTGTGAAATCATCAAGCTGGAAACGCAGATACGTGTAGTTTAATAAAAGCAGGAAAATTTGGAATTATAACCCAAGACACGCAAATGAAAGTGACCTTGTCCTGGAGACAAATTCACCTTTTTAATGTCTGCCCATAAAATGATGATTTGTGTTTAATACTGAAATGAAACTTGTAATCTCGCCACTACAGTCTGCAGCTTCTACAGAGGAGACCATAGTATTATTATGATGATCAACAGTAAAGAGTTGCTATTATTGTCGTTGTGCAGGCAAAAGTGCAGTTGCATTTATCCTGGTGTTTTTTTAACATGCTAATACTTATGTTTTCTCTATGGTGAAGCAATTTCTTAATTTGTTTTTGCAGATTCTAACTAATTTAGGTTTTCACTCTTTAACTGTTTTAATTATTGTCAATTAGACGTTCGAGCGCTGTTAATTCTGTTAATTAATTATGAGGTTTTCTTTTAATTTGTGGAGAGTAAACTTGGTGAATTACTGAACCACATTCCTGCTTAATAATAAAATAGAGTTTGTGTGTCTATATTCTGGCAGCTTGGAGCGAGTGTCTGGACTCCAGCCAGGACAGAAACACAACAGGGTAAACGTGACGCCTGGAGCTCTGTCTCTTACTCTCTTATTTATTCATTTTTATTTTGACCATTCTTCAAGAGGCACAGCAGAAAAAGAAAACAAACATACTGTTGAATAAATGATTTTACATGCAGACAAACTGTGCACATTACAGATATTATTCCCCTGGTCTAAACAAATCTCTGACAACAAACTATTAGGGATCAGCTGTCTGCGCATATTACAAGAAACCTTTTTTTAATTCTAGTATTTTTTAGCCTTTTGACACAGATTGTAGCCATTGTAGTGATCAACATCTGGGTCAATGTCCTGACTGACATAACCCTGGACCCCATATATTAATCCATAGGTTTCTTTACCCATAAGGCTTTCGCTCCCTCTGAGTAAAGAACTAAATATAATAACATATGTCTTTGGTAGACAACTATCAGGTCATTTCACAGTGGTGGTTGATCTTCTTTATCTGAACTGTTCTGAAAGATGAAATACTGTGATCACTGTCCTTACGAAGCCTTTCCTCGTGGCTACATTCTGTGTTTACCTTCAGTCAGATGCAGGTATTTGAAATAATTCATTGAAAAAAATCATATTTATATGGAAAGATGTGGGAGGCTCACACTGTCTGCCCCTATACGCTGCTCTGTGGCAATCCTTGTTTGCTCAATTCTCGACATTGGAGGTGGCAACTGCACAGTGAGCACAACCCTAAAGTCACAATTTCTACATTTATAGGACATTTGGAAATCAGCGGAATCATCCTCTCTCCCTTTCTGAGCTCCAGTATCCATGTGCACAGCCAGATAACCAGCTCATACACAAACTGTCACCTTTTTATGGAAAACGCATGCGCACACACACAGAGAGAGAGAGAGAGAGAGAGAGAGAGAGAGAGAGAGAGAGAGAGAACCACAAGAGCAAGCACCAAGAGACCAATCCAGTGTGGCGCAGCTCAATAGGACCATCAATCTAGCACATCCAGCACTGTGAGAGACAAAGACAAGCAGGCACCAGGACAAAATCTGTTACAGCTCCCATGATGGAGGGAGAGATAAAACGAGTGGGATTGATCGAGGGACAGGAAGGAGAGGGCCGCTTTGTTTCACTGCAGGTTTTCTATCACATATTACTATGGATGAAAATGAGTCTTTTAATATCTATATAATATCCCTTTAGACATTGATAAACACTGTGGAGATGCTTATCACAAGCAGCCAGTGATATGTAGAGATTACAGTTATAATCCCATGAGTTGCTCACATGAGGTTTCCCTTTGTAGTGTAACAACCCACCAACAACTCACTTACTGCGATTTCAAAACAAATGACATCTACACTAGATTTAATAGAAAAGTTACACCTACAGTGTTTATCCATTTTTATCAAATAGCATCAACATTTCCGTGCAACTCTCAGAAACCCCATGGCTTCCCTTCATTTTGATCAATGTAGGGAAATCCTATTCGCACCACCCTCTGCTGCAGAGGTCAAAGGTCAGCTGTGGAGCAGCTGGCCGAGTCTCAACTGGTTAGATGCTTGCTGATACTGTCTGTCTGGAGGTCGTTCTCTGTTACCACCAGGCTACAGCCATCAAAAAAGAACAGCATACAGTAAGGGGAAATGTAAAAACTCACCGACTCTTCCTCTTGAATCATGTGCACCAGGCTGTCCAGGACCGGGGCGAGGTTTCTGAGTCAGGTTGAAGAAAGACAAGAACAGACAGTTTACCAACGTTTAAAAAAAAAAACCTGTGTAAACCGTCTAATTTTGGTGTAAAATGGGTGTTCGGTCCCTCCTCCTGCTCTGCATGCTTACTTTGACTTGATGTTGTTAAAGTTCTTGCCCAGGGAGAGGTGTCTGATGGAGCGGTTCTTGGCCAACCACACCAGCAGAGTAGACAGATCTGAGTCCAGGCCTGGAGGTACAGAAAAAGATTAGAAAGGATAATATGAGAGGCTGATCTCTGCTGATGTTTGGCAACTATAGGATTCCACTGATTTTTGAATCAGGGTTGAAAAGCTCATTCGCTGCACGGTCCTCTCACCGTTGTCAGAGATATCCAGACTGGAGATGTTTGGGATCTCAGCTATACAACCCTCAAGGATTTGAGAACCTCCTGAGCGCAGCTGAAAAGACAGAGGGGCTGAACTTTAAACTCACAGTACATCAGACACAATGCAGAATAGCAGATCTCGCCATGAGTTACCACTTTAACTTCTAACTTGCTGCACTGCTGCAAACACAACATTCCGAAATCTAAAAACCTTTAAAGGCAACAAATCAGACAGTTTCGGAATAAAAGATCTACAGGACTCTTCAGGTGAAACATGCAACTAAGGAATCGTGTAAGTGTTTGAGATGTAACATGTTAATGTCACAGTTTAAAATAACACTGATCATCCAGTATAACTGCAGCTGGGAGCTTTTTGTAGGTTTATTCATTTCATTTCTTAATGCTGATGGAAAATGGGCTCCGCAAACAAGAAAAGGCTGAGAAGAAAGCAGACGTGCAAATGAAAAGTGGAATGAATGAAATGTTAATTATGAAGAGTGAGTACATTGGTACTTACACAATGACCAAGCTTAGAGAAGCATTAGGGGGAGAGAAGAGCATGTCAGAGCCAAGCCAACAATTACCAACAAAAAAAAACCACACACAGATGCTTAATGATCATTCTTCTATTCCAAGATACACACACTCGCATCACATGTGCACACAACTGCACAAACACACTCATCGGGGAGTCATTCACGGTCCTTATTTTGCACATTTTTGGGCTGCCCCCACCAAACGCTTCATTAAAGCTTCGGGAAAAAAAGGATGGAACGCATCATCCCTCCCTCCACCCTTCCATCCACCACCGCAGCTTCTGTTTTTTATCTCTCTTTATCTGTTCGAGCAGGGGTGCAGACGAGGGGCTGGGGTGTGTGTGTGTGTGTGTGAGACAGTTGTGATGAAACAATTACAGAGGGAAACCGAGCCATCCCCCACCTCACCTCATCCTCCCCTCCCTCGTTCATCTCTCCCTCTCCGCCCCCGCCTGCTGTCTGCCAACTATTCCATTATACAGCCTCTTAACGGTGTCGATGGCCTGTCAAATGCTTTTGGAGTGGATCCTAAAAATGCTGATTGCATTGAATTGATTGTTGACACCAAAACTATAAAAACAAGCAGCACTCACCAAACTTTAGCTGATAACAGCACTTAAAGAAATGTGACTGAAAACATGATTAATAAAGGACTAAAATCGAACGAATACAAAGCTGCACGACCAGTTTTAGTCTTTAATAACTGTATTTTGCAGCACAGCAATTAAACTGTGTAGCCGCATCACTGTGCATGTTTGCCTGCATTATCATCAGCTTCATCGTGCAGTGAATGAGCTGTGGGATCTAGGTTCAACATACTGCAACTGATCAGAAAAACACCACTCTCATTGCATTGGGTGATAAATATACAGAATACTGTAAAGATTATTTTGTATATTTTTGGGGCCATTTTACATTTCCTCAGAGAGGATGGGGGAAGACATGCAACTAAGGGCCATGTCGGAACCAAAGCTGCAGCTGCTGCAGGAGGTGTCATGCCTCACCACTGGTGATATGTTTTTTAACACTTGAGTCATGTGTAATGAGAGTCAGTGCCTTCACTTGACACATTGACATTTTAATTTTAACACGAATGTGTTCTCGTCATTCATTTACAATTCATTGTGAACACCGTTGAAAAAGTTCCCAGATTCCTACTAGTCTCGCACACATTGATAAGCTCCACTGCAAAATTAAACAAGAAATGCTTTCATCTGGGTTATGAACACACACACACACACACACACACACACACACACACACACACACACACACACACACCAACAAGTAAAAATCCTATGAACTGCCAGAAGAAAATGATCTCTCATGTACAAATGTACGCTCTGCAAAAGATATCACGATGTGTGATAAAATAAATTCATGAGGTGAAATGATGACGTGCACGATGTTTATGATGACGTGCACAATGTTTATGATGATGTCTGTGGGTCTCACCTCGCAGCAGCTCAGGTCTACAGACACGTCCGTCAGACTGGGGTTACTGGCCAGACCAAGCAGAAGAGCTCTGAAACAATAAGAATACAGACAGTTAAAAGAGATAATATGAGACAGAGAGAGACTAAAGGAGCATTGCTTTATATTATTATATTGATTATATATAAATGTATATGTCCCTGTTGGCTGTGAGCTTCAGCAGCTGCTCTCTGTGATATAAGCTGACAGGACAAGTGTAGTTTTCACTATAGCTTTAAAAGTTTTTAAGTAGTGATATACATATACAGTGTGTAGAAAAATAAGACGAGGAACATGAAGAACAAAGACTGTGGGAGAGAAGAAGCCTCTCGTCAAGACGTATTAAATGTGAATGAATCGTCGTCTCACTTGAGGGCCTCTGGTGGCAGCTTGGTTCCTGACACGTTGATGGAGCTGAGCGACAGGGCGCTGCTGAAGAAGTGCTTGAACGATGGAGGCACCTCTTTGCCTTTCCTGTAGAAAGAGAGGAGGAAATAAATTCCAGATGGATACACAGATGACCGACTTCAGTCCGTGACACATTTAGGTTTTACCTACTCGTAAAGAAACGATTTTAACTCAACAAAAAGCACACAGCAGGGATTCACAAAATGGAACAGAGTCCCAGGCAGAAAGTAAAACTCAGTGTCACACCTCCACACTCTCCGGTTAGCTCTATTACCTTTCTTTCCCTCCACTTATACTACACTACTGCCTCCTCTTCTGCACCCCCCTCCCATCATCTGCCCTCACCCCTTGATGAAGTCCTCAATTCCCCAGAGACAAACTGGAAAGAGAGATAATGACGGGAAGACAACTGCTTCAACCGCCCATCTGTTACACACACACACACACACACACACACAATGTCCTAAACAGGCAACAAAAAGGAGCACACATCCTGTATTTCGTCCTGCCTGTGATAGCATGTTGCCACCAGCAGGGGTCACACACACCAGCACACAGACTGAATTCATGGCTAAAACAGTCAGGTCTGATCAAATCTGAATTTCAGGGCTAAAGTAAACTTACACTTGCATTAAACTGGCACAGACGACCACAGTATACAGTATACACTGTGAAAGAAACTCACTGTACACACAATAAGCAACTCTGAATGGTTAATAAAGACAAATGCCCATCTCCCATTGGATCTGTGGAACAACAGATCTCTGACTAGTTTTACACTAAAACATGTTTGCATGTTAACTAATATGGAGAGTGCAGAAAGAAGCAGTTAGGGACTGAGTGGACAGTTGATTGGTCATTCTCTTAACGTGGCTGGTGCTGTCATTTCTAAAATCTCTTATTTAACACTATCACATCCACAACTGTGCCTTTGAACTCTAACTTCCTCTCCCATAATACATTGTTTTCAGACGACCTTCAACTGACGCATTTGCAAAATTTCCAGTGGTATTTGAAACTTTTTTGAAAAATGTGCACTTGATCCTTAAACCTTGGAAGAACGAGGTCGCGGTATGACAACAACAAGGTTGTTAGTAAAATCCAGATGGGTTCTCACCGGTGAGGGAAGACACTCTTTGACACGTTGAGAACAGAGAGGTGTTGGACTGAACCTCGCAGCAGAGCAGAACAAACCTGGAGAACACACACATGTGAGCAAAAAGGTTTTCTTTGATTTATGAGTTTGAATTACATTCTAACATTTTAAAAATGTTGAAATATCATCTGCCTTTTTTAATACAAACTCTTTTTCACTGCACCTCCCAACCCTGTTGTGTATTTACAAATGTGCAAACATATTTACAGCTGACTGAACGTGACCAAGACAGAAAATGATTTAAGAGCTCATCAATATCTGCAGTGACAGGCTGACAGCTGGCTACATCTCAGACTAATCAATACGCAGTGTTTGGCTCTCTGACCCACATCAATACATCACATACAGTATACAGACCACTGCACAGGCAGCAACACAGATTTACTGTGAGATTAAATTCTCTCCTACATAGATGTTGATGGCCGCCTCGTTTTACACTGCTGTTTAATGAGACACAACTCAGCTTGTGAATGTGAGCTCTCATTGTTTTATACTGTATCTCTTTACTCATTTCTTCCTCTGGACTGGTTATAAAATGGACGTGCCACATGACTCACCTGGTCCAAGGAGCAGTCAGTGTTGGAGAGGTCAAGGGTCGCCAGGCTGTTGGGTTGAGCAAGGAAGTGGCAGAAATGCTAGAAAACAACACACAGTGTTAGAGAGCTGGAGGATGAGACCTTCTAGATGTGGACGGACATGGACATTCATCTGTACGACTTGTGTGTTGTTGATCAAAGTTGGAAAGTTTGATGTGCTCCTCTGGAAACAATGGCACTGTCACTCCTGCAGATTCTATGTTGTTTTTTTTAATCTTCAGCTAAGTCTCATGATATGTTTTATGATTAACAGTTATTTTCCAAACATCTTGACCACTCATCACTTCTAATTCAAATTTGAATATTTCAAACATTGCCTTGTTGGATGGTGATAAAGTATAAGTGGCCGGTTAGCTTAGCTTATCATTAAGACTGGAAATGGGGGGAAATTGTTAGCCTGGCTCTGTAGGATAACAAACTCTTGATTACCAGCACCTCTAAATGTATCATGAGTTATTGTCCAGCCTAAAATACAATACATTAAACTGATGGGTGTGACTGTATCTGATTTTCTGTATCAAGACTTTCTGCCACCTCTCTGTATCTGTGCTCTGAGGACTGATGACCTGAGTGGATGCTCTGCCACAGAGTGATTAATAAGGGTCTGACAAAGGTCTCCACATAACTGCAGCACTGAACTCTTTCAATCAATTAAGTGTTATTGATACCGGTCTGAGATGGATTAGAAACTGTGTGTGTGTGTGTGTGTGTGTGTGTGTGTGTGTGTGTGTGTGTGTATACCTGCATGTCGTCCCCTCGGAGGATGTTCCCTGAGAGGTCCAGATGGACCAGGCTGCTGGAGATGGACGGGTTGGCACTCAGTGACTGGCAAAGGCTGTTCACCCCTAAAACACACACACACAACAAACACATGCAGGCACACACACAGAAGCAATGTCAGCAATATCTCAACCCTCAAATCTCCCTTGATGTTTTGACAGCATATTGAAGGAAATGGCAGAGGAAATGAGCAGTGACAGGAAAGAACAGGATCAGAATGTTTAGTGAATGGAAAGAGAAGAGAGTCAGGCCTTCTCATGTTTGTGAACAAGTGATCACCGGGAGTGTAGCATTAGCCAGATCCAGCTAAAATATCAGCAATTTTGCAACATTTCACACCAGGAGGTCCCACAAGTAAATCTGCAACATGAACCATGTGCAAGATTTTATCGAGGGGTGGCTCCCGAGCTGCAAATGACAACCCTCGCAATTTTATAAAGAGTTTAACCTGAGCCAAGTCATAAATCAATGATAGCAATCACCACTTCCATACAGGGTTAGTATATATATTATATACAATATATATTGTTAAATGCACTGGTACAGGATCAGTACTCAGTATCAGCAGATACGCTGAGTCCAGGTATCAGAATCTGGCAATAATGGAAAATCAAAACATCTCTAATGATTAATCAGCTGAATTTAAAGCCACACAAAAATAAATCGGAGTAAAAATGTAATAAAATGTCCTCAATCCTCTGCCCTTGCTCTGAGCGCTGGGGGTTTCTGGAGGGTTTGGGCCGTTAGCGGAGATGAGCAGGGCTCAGTTAAAGCAGCACTAACCCTGCTCTGTGGAATATGATATATGCTCTCTATTGATCGCCTGAGAGCAAAGCGTGTTTACAGTGGCTCACTACAGATGGTACCTGGTGCAGGAACATTTACTTTGGAACAGAACCAAGAGGAAAGTTTACCTGCAAGTGAATCTTGATAAGATCAGCACTTAATTTAGAAATGATGATTCTCTGCAGCCTTGTCAGAGCCTTTCATTAAAGGTCTTTACTTTCTCGTGCAAAGAACTTTGGGCTATTGAAAACTGGCATGCTGTTAACAGATTGTCTTTGCACAACCACACAATACAAATACTTTTTTTTTTTCATTCCCCGGGCTCCCACGCTCAGTGTTTATCGTGCAATAATTAAGAGTCATTAGCATCCCAGTGGTAGGTGCAATCAGATTAGTGGAAAGTGTGAATTACATCAGATGGCAGGGGGGAGAGAGTGAATTAGAAAAAACTGAAAATCCTGCTGATCACAAAGCACAAGGGGGGAGGTCACGTACCTTTGGGTGATAGTGAGGTTTTGGAGAAGTTTAAATGCTTTAGCCCCGTACGAAGTTTGGCAAACTGAGCTCCCAGGAAGGAGATACCTGCAGCGAGAGAGGGGAAGCAGAAACAATCATTTTGAACTTGTCAATCATCTCCCAAGGGGCTGCTGCAGCTCTTTTCACACAGCCAGCAACAACTTTCTTTAAATACAAAACCACTTTTCACCTTGATCCACAATGTCGCAGGTGTTTCATTTCTGGTTAACAGTTGTATTACAGTACATAGTGCACTGTGTACTCTGCAAGCTTCTTTATTTTCTTCTAGCAGAAAATTCAGTGGATCCCTGTGGTAAACTTTACATAAGGACAAATAATCCAGAGATTGTCTATCCCCAGAAATCTATTGTATGTTTACGTGCCACCGCCGAAATATTTGGTGGAATGTATCTTTAATTTATGTGCCCTGGATAAACCGACAGGTCTTGGGATGGAGCTGATGAAATATTGAACTTGTTGAACTCACTGCACTGGGACAAGGAAATCTAACTTGTACATATACAGCATAATAACACACCCAGTACCTCTGACGGACTGCGGCACAGTATTTCATACAGTGTAGAATGTATAAATGATCTATTTAATAATCTGTAAGTGAAATATAACGATCAAATTATCTGTCACACATGATATTTAGAATTATTCGTGTTGCCTGATAATGGTTCAGTTTTATTTCTTAACATTTACAGGGAAGCTGTATTGTAAGTAAAGTACAGTGGTGCTAGACTGAGTAGAAACAAGCTGTTTAGGATCAAGCACAGAAAAGAGAATAATAGAGCAGGGATGAGCACATTAGTCTGGATCAGAGCAGATATCATACCTCTGTCCTCCAGTGGGTTGTTGGCAAGATTAATGGTGGTGAGTCCTGAGCTGGGGTTGTGGGCCAGAGCAGCAGCAAGCTTCTGGGCAAAGTCACTGTAGAGTATGAGAGAGTGTTTCCATTATGCGGGTATGACCAGTGAACTGCACACGTGGAACCTATCAAAGCGCTTTATTCTTACACGGCTACACCCAAAAGCAGGGATGAACGGGGGTGTATTGAAATGCTACATTGGAACTGTGGTAAAAGACTGACTTTATTTGTGCAATAAAAATCTTGTTAAACAGCTATATGTGCAAACTGAACAAGAATCCAGAGTTTGCGATTGTTTATGTAAAAAATTGAAATCTTTTAACTATAAATTGTCTGATTCAACGGTGTGTCTGAACATATTCAGTTATGAAACAGTAGTTTCATTGGTAGTTTTTGTTTCCGCTCTTATAAATATGTATTACAATTATTAGATATTGTATGAAGTGTAATCACACAAAATCTGAACCAAGTAAAGTTATACAGATTTTATTTTTAAATCTTGCAATTCAGTATTGCATTTTCAGAGGGTAAGGGGATTAGAATGGGTTAATCTCCAAAAAACCTGTCTCCTTCATGTCCCTTACTGAAAGGTATCGTCACCCACTGAACCATTCACGACTGAATCATGTGTGTACTGTTCATTCCAAGTTAAATGACTTTTAATTGTTTAGATCATCTTACGTTTTGAGTCCTGCGTTGTCCAGAACCAACTCTTCCAGTCGACTGGATCGAGACACCACCCTGAGGATCTGCTCACACACATCTGCAGACTGAATACACACACAGATGTCAGTTAACCTCTTTGTCTATAGACTTATCAAAAAGAGAAATCAGGAAACGATACTGAAAGGACAAAATTTTGTGTTGTTAAAACAGCAGATAGTGTGAGTGATATGGGAGAGATACAATGAGAGTCTCACTCTCAGAACCACAGTCTCGTCTCAAATTAAATACAATTTAGCCCATTCACAAATCCTCCACCCTTAGTCCTCAACTAGAGGGAGAAAACTGCCAAAAAACTTAACAAGGGGATAAACACAGAAATCTCCCACACAAGTGAGGATCTCTCTTCCAGGGTGGAAAGAGGTGCAATAGATGTCACATGTAACAGAGCACATCAACAAAATAACAATATTCACAACATTCACGAGAAAAAAAGCTTGTACTGAAACATTCAAGGTCATGGGAATACGAGAGGAATTTACTTCTGAGACGTGATTCCTGAGCCGAACGCTGTGAAAACTCTCTGGGAATCTGTTCATTTATGCTCATTAGAGCTGTAGAGTAGAACGTTTCTTTAAAAAAAAAAAAAAAACAGCAGGGTATAAGTAAAGTCTCTCTCTTCCACTTAAAAACCATTTATGCGTGACAAGCAGAGACTGGGGAGAGAGTGAGAGGAGAGTTTGGACACTTAGGAAAGTAGAAAGTCTCGCTTCCGTGGTCACAGCACAACGGAGGGGGGAGGAGAGTCGAGGGAGCGACGGGCACTCATATTTAGACAAAAATTAAAAATTCAGCAGTTGGACTTCTGTGCTTCACCCAGATATTCACTGACCCAGTTCACCGTGTGCTGTGTCACACACACACAAACACACACACACAACATCCTAATACTCACAACAAAACATTTTTTATCGTAATAACTTTAGTGGCTCATTGTATTGTGTTGTTATTCTTTGGGACTGACATTCCTGCTATAAGGGACTGTTTCTCTTGGTGCGGCCACAACACTGGCAACATTGTCCCACAATGTTATCTAAAGCGATGGAGGGGGAGAACGAGGGGATGGAAGGAGAGCGAGAGAAAGATAGAAGAAAGGGACTGTTGTTCACATGTTTACTCTGTGAAAGTGTGAGTATGACAGGAGAGGAATGAGAGTGATGGAGGGCAGTGAGGGATGACATAATAAAGAGGAAAAGGAGATATGAGGTTAGCGAGGGGTGAAATAGAGGAAAAGAGGAGCGAGAGCAGTGGGTTGTGGCCTTAGAGGGAGAGAGTGGACAAAGAGGCCTGTATTTTCCACATGAGTCACAACAAGACTGCTGGGTGACACCGTCAGTGTGAGGACTGCACCATTTAATGCCCATTAAAAAAAAAGCCTTGTCATGCTGTGCCTGGGTTCTGCTGGAATATCTCGCACACGCGCACACACACATGCACACACACATGCACACACACACAAAAACACTTTTAGACCATGAGGTAATTAGAAAGTAAGTTGTCCTCTTATCACTGTCCTCACCTCGTCTTCTTCTACTCTCTATTGACAGCGCAGCATCTTGATTAGGCCACAAGACAAACAGACTGATTGAACTCAGGACGAGCTGCACAATCCCTCACTGTGCTAACCGGCTGTGTGTGTGTGTGTGTGTGTGTGTGTGTGTGTGTGTTGTATTGCCCACTCCACTACAATGAGATATCCCTTATCTGTGTGGAGCTGGTTAGACTCACTGCACTTTCGACCTCACGCTTGTGTATTTACCGTTCCCCCCCCCCTCACTAACTGTTTCTAGTTCAACATGATCCACAGACTCATGTTTTCACAAATCCCTAGTGTGACTGTGTGGTTTACCACCACAGATGACAGCTGATGATGGCGGACGATGTTGCCCTTGCGTTGAACTTCCGTCACAAGATTTGGCAGGAACATTCACTGACATGCTGCTGGTTGTGGAAAATAAACACGTGTTTCTCCAGCTTGTTTCTCTCCTCTCTTCTCTGTCTACCAAACATCCATTCTTTAAATCTCTTCTTCATTCATTGGACTTCTCCCCTCTTCCATTTAAGGCTTGTTTATGCTCAGCGTAACATAGAAACGGACGGAGCCTTGTGTTTAGACTCTGCATTCATTTCACTGTATTTGTGTAAGTCTACTGAAAGCTTACGAATATGTGCACCGCAAATAGTGGAGGGGGGGCAGTGTAGCCAGTAGTTCATGTAAGATGAAAACAAGGAATGAGGAAGACATTTCAACAATGGCAGAACTTTTTGAGGAGAGATTTTGCGAGTTGGTTAACAGACACGGGCACAAGGACTGTGCCTGTGTCTGAGAAGTTCATAATCATGTTTGTTGAAGTCAGAAATTCTCAACTCCTCTGACAACCACTAAAGTTCACACTATAGAACAAGTGCAAATATCTCCACTCAAATCTTCCCATCACAAAACCCTGCTCTGTTATAGTACACACTAATCTGGTATTAAAAAAGAGACACATTAGACACAGGCTGCACATGTGCCTGCTTGTGTAACTAAATATGCACATGGCATGGGGAGGAGGCCGGATTTTAAAATTCAATACAAAAGGGGTAGCCTGTGACCGAGGAAGAAGATAATTATTTGGACTGAGGAATCTGCGTGTGGTAAGTGGTGAGACCGAGCGCAGCCTGAAGACACAGAGTCAGTAATGGAGCGCTGCAAGGGGCACCAGCCTGAGACTTTTGAGGCCCTTTGTCTCGTTAGGATTAGGAGTCTTATCGCACGAGAACACAGGACTGATCCTCAGTCAACACGCATGAGGGATGACAGAAAACTGAAACAAAGGGGAAAATGTTCTGTACAGTCAGATACAAGCAGCTATTATCACTGTCAGGCAAAGGTAGAGTGGAGGGAGTCAGCATGCATGGGAAACTGAATGCAGATAGAGAAGGACATGAGGATACAGATACTATCAATAAATAGTTCAAGTTGAATATTGTGATTTTAATAATCTTTAAATGATAAAGTGTAAATGGTGACTGTATTTATTAAGATCTTTTCCAGTATTATCAACCACTCAAAGCTCTTCACAGTACAATTCACATTCACCCATTCACACACACAATCATTCAGTGCTCCTATACACACTCAGCACTTTTTCAATCACCCTCCATTCATATACTCTCGGCACAGCAGTCAGGGGCAATTTAGGGTCAGTACCCTGCCCAAAGTGGTGCCGGGGATCAAACCACCGAGCCTCCAGTAAGTGGAAAACCCTCTCCAGCTCCTGAACCACAGACGTCTCCATTTAAGCTAAGATGCTAGGCTCAATTTCTCAAATGTCAAAATTGTTGCTGTTTGTCTTAGTCTTACAGGATGTGAAACATATTTAGGTGTATGTCGATTGGCCAGATATCACAAGACATTTCTATTGCATAACATAACTTTATATAAAGCAAAAAGCAGAAGTGCAGTAAGGCAGTGAAAAGCAGAACCTTTACTGAAGTGACAGGAATAGATAAGAACCTGACAACCACAGTGACACTACTTAACTCTGAGATGGGATTAAATCTGAATTATCTTGTCATTTTCCGGCAGCTATACTATACAGTTTATCCATCATGCTGATGTGGTAGCATTAATATACTGTATGTGCTGTGAATCTTCTTCTATAATGGGACACTAAGGCTACATCCATATCATTACGATTTAATTGTAAATGTTTTAAAACTAATAGTTTACATCCACAAAAACATTTTAGCCACGCATCAGTAATAATCCCCATCCGTATGAACACAGCTGAAAATGCAGATCACATAACCATTCACGTACACTGGGCATATGCATGCTGATGTAAACAAGACTGTCATCTCTGCAGTTGGTTGCTTCGTTACAGAAAATATTGAATGAGAAACAAAAATGGTGAAAGGAAAGCACTGGGACTCTCCACGAACGTATTAGTATGGATGTAGCCTTAAGAGGTGATAAAGAGAGATGCACCACCTCTTCAGTTTAAAAGGACAGAGTCATGGAGGCAGTGGTTAGAAACTGAGCATGGAATGGGGTACGAGAAGAAGATGGTGAAAACAGGAACTGACCAGTTTGTAGTCCTTGGTGGAGAGCTTGGTGAACCACTGGTTAAACTCCAGCACAGCTATTATGGCCACCAGATCCCTGAGGAACAGAGAAAAGGTCACAGCAGCAATTAAACACTCCTCTTCCTCAGTACAACCTGAGACTGGGAAGTGACTTCAGCATTTTTGCTATAGAAAATAAATCATGTCACAACAACAATACCCCCTTTCTCCTGTCTTTGGTTTTGTACCACATGGCATTTATCTGTGATTTATTGCATTGCTTTGCTTTGGTAACGTTTTATCTCACCTGTTCTCCAGATGGCTGAAGTCCTGCAGGTTGAGTTCTCTGGTGTCTTGTGTTAAATAGATGGTGTCCACATCCTGCAAGAGGAACAGTTCATCAAAGACCATATCAACAAACAAGTTTTTATTTAGAGAAGTATCTGTTAATGAGTCACATGGAGACAAGAAACTAGACGGAGCACATAACAGATGTAAGCAGCAGATAAAATCATTTGTTTGGACAAGAAGAGGCGAGAACATGGAGAAGATCTTATGCAAAATAAATTACTACACATATGTCATGTTAAGTTGATCCTTTTTATCAAAGGGTTTTCTGCAGGTTTATGTTACGGATCGAATTGCACTGAAGCACAGTTGAACCAGGACACTGTACAAACAAATATAAATAATACTGACCCACTGCACCTCTTCTCTGTACAGCAGCCCCAACCAGTCACACACACACCTGTACATCTGAGAAAACCCACCTGCAACACACGGAGAACTAGCTCAACAACAATTTAATACACAAACCACAATTCTTCAAATACAACATGTAAAACTACTAGAGTCAGATCATTATGGAGTTTGGGGTAAGGGCAAGGTTCTTAAGATGTAGTTATCGGACCCTTATGACAAAGAGATGTAATGTAATTGAGGGTATTTTAGTTTAACCATACACTTTATGATGAATAACTATAAATATAAAGGAAACACAAACACAACCAAATAAATAGTACAAGAAAAAATAGATTTTTTTTCATGTGAAATGCAAACAAATGTATAACTATTATCAGGCAACCACTTTATCAGCTGGGCTCTAAAACGTCTATACCCTGATGTCAACTCACTATGTGATTGAACCATTAGGATACAAAATGAATCTGAATCCTAAATGGGATTAGGTGACAAGTTCCTACCACAGGGTCCAGGTTCCGCAGGCTTGTTGTTCTCCCACAGAGTCTGCAGAGAGGTCAGCCGGTCAGGAGGCTCCATACAAAGCTTCTTCATCACTTTACTGAGAAGAGAAGATGAATGAAAATGTGACATCCTGTTTCTATTCTGCAGCTGGTGACATTTGCAAAAACGTATATCTCTCTCCATTTAAAGAAGTTTCAATCAAGAAGCTCCGGGCTACTTTGTCACTGCCTGACTCGTCAATGGAGGCAATCAATCAGAGCTGAACAACTGAGTACTAATTTATTGCAGCTCAAAAATATAAACGTCAGCCGATCAGTCAAGTCAAAGTCTTGTTCACAAGACGAAGATTTAAGGTTTAACATCTAAATGCATTCATCAGATTCACATGTGCATTAAACACATCGGTTGTGTATAGTATTGGTTCACATCCCAACACGACTGGTACAATAACATCACAATGAATCTATGAAGAGAAGCATGAATTGTTGTGTAACACACACTCACCTGGGTGGTAAACCAGGACATATCCTCACGAGGCAGTTTCCTATGTGAGCCACCACCTCATTGACCTCCTCTGTCGAGAGCAGCTTCAGGGAGAAGGAGCCACGCTCGTACTCTATCAGCAGCTGGAAGGACACAACACTGATCAGTGATTCACACCAGCGGCCATTGTTCCACCTGCACCCGCTTCAACCACATCTATTTATCGCATAAGAAACTAAATCATTAATTTCTTTATTTCCATCAAGTACATGTCTATTTCTAAATTTAATCTACTGTATGAAAACAGACACTTTCCTATGATACTTCCCTCTGTCTCCACAGCTTATAGTTTTCTTAACTGATTTATTGCTTTTCCAAAACAAATCTGCCAATATCGGAATCTATGTTTGTGTTTGCTGATATGTACTAATATGATAAACATTCAGAAAACTT